TGTTTGATGTGTTTGTTGTTTCTTTGTGTGTTTGTTGTGTTTGATGTGTTTGTTGTTTCTTTGTGTGTTTGTTGTGTTTGATGTGTTTGTTGTTTCTTTGTGTGTTTGTTGTGTTTGATGTGTTTGTTATTGTGTGTTTTTTGTGTTTGATGTGTTTGTTTTTGTGTGTTTGTTGTGTTTGATGTGTTTGTTGTTTCTTTGTGTGTTTGTTGTGTTTGTTGCTGCAGCAGGTTCTCTTAGTGAGGATCAGTTGATCTAATCTGGTCCAGGCACCAAACTAATGCAGTGTAACAACATGGAACATAATGTACCATAATAGGATTTGGACAGCTGTAATCTGATGTGCGGTCTGACTTCTGTTGGAAGACAAGTCCATCTCTTTGACCTTCAGCTTGTCTGAGACAACAGAGACAAACTTACCTCACTGCACTGAACTGCAGACAACACAACGCTCACCTCCAGCAACACATGGGACGACAATGTTTTTGTGTTTAGTCTTCACCTTGCTCTGTTCTCTGGTGTGATTTCCTCACTGACTTCACAAAAGCCCCGTTCAGTGCAGCAAGAAAAGACCTCTGAAGAAAAAACAAACAACCTCTCTCTGATGCATAGCTCAGCATGTGAGAACAGATCTTCAGGCCAAGACATGATTGTGCACCTACACCTCAGTGATAAAAGGCACAGTCAGAAACCAAGAAATATCTAATCTACAACCAGTTAAAAACCAGATAAAAACTAAGTTTGGAACTTTAAACATAGAAACAAAAAACAGGATGAAACCAGAGTGAAACCAGAATAAAAACTTGAACCACTAAAATACATCTGTGTGAAAAACTGTTAGAAAACGTTTTAAAACCAAATTTGATTCAACATTTGTGTTTTTATTTCGATCAATCAGAATCTCCTAACCTGAAGAGAGTTTCTCAGAAAACTAAAACAAGCTCAAAACTGGACCCATTTATCTTGCTGTTTGTTCTGAAAAGCCTGAATCAATATTATTGATCAAGCCTGTCAGAAACATGCTTGACTCTATTTACCCAGAATGCATTACAGTCGCTGTGACATCATCCATACCACTAACAACTGTGTGTTGGACAGATGCTGCAGAAAAACTTATACCTGTATCAGCATCTGTCAGTCATATGCAGTGGTGGCACCAGTCCACTAAAGCGCAAATCCGCTAATTGCGGACCTAAGTATTTTATTTGTGCTTTTGCCGTCTTACTAATTTTTACAATTTATAAGCAGATTTGCACTTTCTAAAATTAAAAAGCAGTACNAGTCGTGGATCACATGACCAGTCTTGGATCACACGACCAGTCGTGGATCACATGACCAGTCTTGGATCACACGACCAGTCGTGGATCACATGACCAGTCTTAGATCACATGACCAGTCATGGATCACAAGACCAGACTTAGATCACATGACCAGTCTTAAATCACATGACCAGTCGTGGATCACAAGATCACGACTAGTCGTGGATCACATGACCAGTCTCAGATCACATGACCAGCCGTGGATCACGACCAGTCGTGGATCACATGACAGTCTTAGATCACATGACCAGCCATTGGATCACAAGACCAGACTTAGATCACATGACCAGTCTTAAATCACATGACCAGTCGTGGATCACAAGATCACGACTAGTCGTGGATCACATGACCAGTCTCAGATCACATGACCAGCCGTGGATCACATGACCAGTCGTGGATCACATGACCAGTCTTAGATCACGACCAGTCGTGGATCACATGACCAGTCTTAGATCACGACCAGTCGTGGATCACATGACCAGTCTTAGATCACATGACCAGCCATGGATCACATGACCAGTCGTGGATCACATGACCAGTCTTAGATCACGACTAGTCGTGGATCACATGACCAGTCTCAGATCACATGACCAGCCGTGGATCACGACCAGTCGTGGATCACATGACAGTCTTAGATCACATGACCAGCCATTGGATCACAAGACCAGACTTAGATCACATGACCAGTCTTAAATCACATGACCAGTCGTGGATCACAAGATCACGACTAGTCGTGGATCACATGACCAGTCTCAGATCACATGACCAGCCGTGGATCACGACCAGTCGTGGATCACATGACAGTCTTAGATCACATGACCAGCCGTGGATCACAAGATCACGACTAGTCGTGGACCATATGACCAGTCTCAGATCACATGACCAGCCGTGG